TAACATTTTATTTTTCTTTATTTTAACTGTAAATTAAATCAATTCAGCTCGACCATCGACTCACCTGCAATCCTCCATTTGTTGTTTCGCGCCGCCTCACATCCGTACCGGGCTCTCTGTGAGGGCGTCATGACTCTCCAGAAACACCACTGAACTAAAACTACTCACTGACATTTATTTCTCTTTTAACTCTTTATTTTCTCCATGAGTCGCTGCGGTCTTCACCCTCGGCTCTCAGCCTCCACATAAAGGTAACGGGATGCGCCGAGAGACGACCGGACCTGCTGTAGCTGCTGTGGTTGCCATGGATACGCGACAAGTTGGACGGCGACAGGGAGGGAAGTGCCGGAAGCTCCCCACCAAAATAAAATATGATTCATTTTATTGTGTAGGTACACTAATCGCAGAGCAGCATGCTTTTTGAATACACACGCGGTTGTTATGTGATTTAGATTCTCATTAAAGCGGCTGTTTGCTTTTATCACAGTACTTTAGGCTGGTGGGTCGCAAGAGAAGTTCGTCAAAGAGGTTTTTTTTTATGTTCTGACCGGAAGTGTTCTGTTTTAGTTTGTTAAAACTTGTAGGTGATGAAGAGACGAGTTCAGGTGAGTGAGTGGAAGTTGCTGGTGATACCTGGTGTTATTTGATGAGTTAAGTTGGCATGACTTGCACCTCTGGCACTGCATCTGCAGCCCTTCGCAGAAGACGACGAATAAAACTGAATTTACCCATTTCTCTCACTTTCTAAATGATGTTCGGCTATAAAGGTTGTTTCAAAGCCAGCAGCACATTGTCACATATACGTAGGCTAAATAACATAACATCTAAGGCCCAGAAGTTTTTTGTTTAACCTAAAAACAGTAACATTTAGAAAGTCTAAAAAAATATGATAATAACAAGCCTGAAGGAGCGCCCCGCTGCCCTGGCCCTCAAGAGGCTGCGAGATATATTTGAGGTCCCTTGAGATGAATACTGTATAATAATAAACATATTTCTGCTGCATAGATTTTTCTCTTATCTTTGCTTTATTCTTAACAGTTACTGTATAAATTAAGACTGACCTGATTCTAATAGAACAAAACAGTGTTTTGTTGAACTGGATATAACTGATAAACATATGCAATCACTGATGAAGTACATTGCTTCATTTTAAAGGGTCACAAGCCAAACAGCTTGGTAACCACTGGCTTAGGTAATGTAATGTAACCACTTGCTTGTAATGTCATCACCCATCTCTCTGTCCCTTCATTTGCTGTCAACTTTATACTGTTGCTATCGAATGAAAACAAAACCTCTTAAATTACTTTATAAAATAATAAGAAGCCTTACAAACCCACAATATAGACTATTATTTGTATAACGTAAACTCATATTGTTAAATCCTCCAAATTTACAGACACAATAAAGACATTACTTCAGTTCTGTGAAAACTGGAGAGTAAATTAAGGATTTAAAAAACTGTATAAATTCTCACACAAAACCTTTTGTGTCACAATGACTGGAGGAAACTTATGGTGTAAAATCACTCTGACAGAGGGGGAAAGGGACTGCCAGTCTCAGGGGCAGTTACCATAGTTTCAGTGATGGAATCCAATACCCTGCCACACACACACACACCACACACACACACACATACTGTCTGTTTGATTGTTTGATCTTTTAATACACTGCCCCCCATGACTCGGTCTCCAAGGATACTGTTAATATTGGATCAGGAACAACAACAACTCTTATTCCGGCTTCTTATCCTGGACTCAGCACTGAGGCACAACATTGTGTGTGTGTGTGTGTGTGTGTATGTGTGTGTGCGTGCGTGCTGTCTCAAAGTGCTGAATAGTGTTAATCCATAATCATTTATTTCCTTATAGTCTAAGGAGTGTTTTCCACACCTTTATTACAGAGCTCAGAGGAGGCAAGATGAGAGAGATGGGCGATGAATGCATCAAAGAGCTGAACTACAGAGTGTGAGCATAGTCAGGACCTTTAACCCTTTATATAATACATCAGGGCACCCATTTTTCATCTGTTTAAGATTTAAGGTGGGCTCCTGGTGGATTCATGATGATTATGTGGTGTTGGGGTTATTTTGTAACTGTACAATGTTTCACACTATGTGGTCACTGATTCTGTTTTGGGGTTGAAAACTTAACTATAATAATAATATTTATTTTACTTGTTAGTGGTGGTACTTTTAATCTTGCCCACAATTGGGAAATCAATAAGTATTTCTGATTCTGATTCTGAATAAGGGGGTCCTCTTACTGTTAAGAAGAAAATATGTGAATGGTGCACTACCAGTGTCTGACCAGCAGGGGAGGCAAGTGTACATCCCAGCAGAGAGAGAGAGGAGCTGCACCCAAAGTGGTTCCCTGGAAGAACTAATCAATTGGACTAACAAGTCATCTTGTAAACATCATATATGTTGAGATTAAGATGTTAAATCCCTCAGTGATATGTAGTGTTAAGATACAGGTTTGATTTCTGAGCAACTGACTGCAAACCACAGAAATTCCTCAGAAGAAGGTTGATAATCTAATCTTTTTTCAACTTGTTGCTGGCCCACCAGAGGATTTACGGAACAATTGATGCAATCTCACAGATAACACACACACACATAAACATAAACACTACTCTGCAGTTGTTCGTTGTTGTTAGAGTGTGCTAACAGCTGCTACCACAATGATACAAAGATGAATATGTTGATAAATGATTTCAAAATTGTAACATTAGTCATGCAAGGTTTTATGTGATCCCTAGAGACATCCAACTACTACTACTGAGTGGATCAAAGTCAAATCTTAACCCTTTTAACAAGCGAGAAGCCCCCATAACATGTGGAAAACATCTGCAGAACATTTGGACCACTTAACATTAATGGACATGATGAATTATTGTGGAAAATACCTTTATTAAGCACTTATTAACATTTAAAACTGCAGTTTAAATGGGTTATTAGCAGTTACAAATGAATACAGTGATTAGTTACAGTGTATATGCTGTTTTTAAAATGTACCTTATTTAAAAGTGGTACCCAATAAATAAATGCATGTCTAAAAGTCTACCATTCGTTCTGTAGTCGGAGTCATGCAGAGTCATGATGCCGTTTAAGCTTTCGCCCCTCCATTCATGTGATTAACTTTATATCTTGTTATTTGAGCTCCATTTGGACAAGGGGGGTGAGAAAGAGTGCAGCCAGAGAGAGGCAGAAAGAGAGCCTGCAGACTGAAAGGATTAAACCAATGAGTATGTGTCAGAGATGGGAGTGGCAATGTCCAGATGTTTATATCGTTGTATTATCCTCGCATTCACACACAGATACACAGGAAAGGCTTCAGAAAGCTGGAAGAATGATCAACATTCCTCGGTTTACGGCCTTCACGCTCTTCCTTTAGCTGTTCTGAGATTGAACCCTGTTTATCATCTCAGGCCTACCAGCTTTCTGCCTATGTCAGCTCAGTGTATTTACACACACACACACACACACACTTGGATACACACACTTAACCACACAGAGACTTACAGATGCCTGCCTGGATAAAGTCATGTGGCAATGAAAAACACAGGGTCATCAACCTCTACAGCAGTCTAGAAAAATTGATTTTGTTATATACACAAAGATTTGACATGTTCAACAGGACAAACAAAACGGATAAAGATGTTGCTCGTGTAAGTCATTGATGTTCATGTGTCATGTGATGGATAGTGATGGGATTTACCACTATAATGCATGGTTTTATCCTGCCTACCTAAAGCTTTCACCATGTCTGCATTAGAAGCCGTTATGAGAAGGGTGTGTGCCGGGGAATTTCTTGCCTGAAACTGCAAATCCAAATTTATGTGAGATTTGACCATGGTGGCATCCCAGAGCACTCTATCAAAGGATTGCATAAGATCAAACATTCATGTTGAAACTCACTTGCCACAGACAGCCAGTAAACATATTCTAGGCTGGAGCTCGAAGATTTCGACCTTTCACCTCCTCTCTCTCTCTCTCTCTCTTCCTCCTTCTCTACTTTTCCATGTGTCTCTCTCTCCCACCTGTTTATGTCAAATGTCAGACTCATGCATGCCACAGATTTGTTCCATCACACACACAGATGTGCCAGTTTAGACACGCTAACAGACAAGAAAGAAGGAAGGACACTGGAGGACAAGGGCAGCGGGATAGGGTGTGTAACATGGTGTGATGTGATGTAACAACATTCACTATTGAATTTTTTCCCCCCAATTCCTGCTTTTTTAGAGCAAAAGTGTGTGTGTGTGTGTGGTGTGTGGTGTGTTTGTTATTGCACAACTTCCAGGGATCATTAGACCATCTGCAGATGGGGACATTTCATCAAGCAGAGAGACAGAACAGTGATAAGTGGACATTTGTGCTTTTGAATGAATGCAGCTGTGGGTGTAGTACTTCTACTGTATGAAGACTGATTCGGCCCTCTGGAAAATTTATGGCAAGCACATGTTGGCATGTCCCTAACATCAAATCTTCAAAGGACCCTTTGAGGGGGACTTAGTGGTTAAGTTTAGAATCAGTTTAAAACAATAGTTTCACTTATTCGGAAATAAGTTATTTGATTTCTTGCCGAGAGGTAGATGAGAAGATAGATACCACTCTCATGCCTGTACACTGAATATTAAGCTATAGCCAGCAGCTGGTTAGCTTAGCTCATAAACTCACTCATAAAACCACAACTTGCCATTTTTAAACTTGAATTTTTTTTATTAAACAGATATACATTATTATATGTTAATTAGTGAGTTTTAGAGGTGCTGGTAGTCAGATTTTGAGCTGTCTCCCCCGACTCAAGTCTTCAGCTGCTGGCTGTAGCTTCATTCTAAACATGTCCAACATGTGAGTGGTATCTATTCTCATCTATAGGGAATGCACTATCCCAATGAGGGTCATATAGAGCGCAAATGGGTGTGAGTGTAGTTGTAGGGTATCTTGTTGTGGGGTCATAAATCTGTTCACAGTCACCTCCCAAATGGGCACAAATGCTTCTTCAGCTATTAGAAGAATAAAAGAAAAGGATTAAAGCCCCGAAAAACCTGGTTTAAATCTTTGTTTTCTTATTAACATTAAATACGCTGGATTATATTAGTAACAATCGAAGTGGATACTGCACAAAACATTTTAAATTGTTATTTATTAAGAGGTTAACAGTCAAAACCTCAAGCAACTCTGCTTCAGTGTGGGTGTGGTTGAATAGATAAGATTCAAAGTGGTCAGAATATATGCAAAGGACCCCAACTGGTATGGGACGACACTCCATTTTGATTCAAATGTTGCCATAAAATCTAAATACTAAATAGGTTTTAAGGGCATTTAATGGATAAGGTTTCTGTTTCAACAATTCCCACGAAAAACACCAAAAACAACATTGCTTTAGTCTGCCTCGCAATACTTTTCAACTTCCGTACCCACTTTGTTGTTCAGTGGTTAGCCCATTGGTTCTTGTAATCTTTAAAAACAGGTCACAAATATAGGCTTTCATTTTCAAGTAGTCTAAATAAATTTAATGTAGAGGTGGGCATTGTAGGTTTTAGCTAATATTACTGAAACAGGAGCACATTTGTTGGGGACTATTTTCCAGCGCGGATTAATAACAATATTTGGTGCTTGATTAAAATTGACACCCTGGACCGGGGTTTGACCTCCTCATGGAAACAGTGTGCTAATTTTTGAAACCAAGGTGAGGTCTATGGCCACTTAAAATACTTGTTCAGAAAGAATCAATTTGGTGGTGGTTTTGGTCCTTTTTTTGATGGGAAATTTTGTTGACAACAAGTAAAATATCGAATACACCACATTTATCCGATGCAATGTCCTCCTACCTACAGAACAAAAACTGTGTGTGCAAAATAAGCGCTGTCGTAATAAACCAACCTTCCAACACCCTTATCTTGACACTCATGTCCACAGCTGACAATGCCACTAGTGCATGTGTGTTTACAAGTGTGCGCACAACATACCCACACACAAACACAGTCCTTGTGTCACCGTATGTGCTCTGGCAGGCCAGACTGAGGTCAGTTAAAGTCAAATAACCACAAAAACAGGTGGAAAACCCAGGAAGAGGGAGACGTAGTGAGGCAAGGAGACAGGCAGAGAGGGCTATCATTACATTCTTTTCAACCTTCAACCCCCCCC